TATTGAATTTACAGTTTTATTTTATATTTAAATATTATTAATAGTTAATATTAGAATTAAAAGTTGCGATAAAATTTTTTGAAGAAAAGAAATAGATATATATTTGATCGAATACATTTCAGGTATATAGATATTTATCTTTAGATATATAGTCATATTTATTGGCATCATTTCTTCCTCGAACTTGTTACGCTTTTTTCGCAAGACTAGCATCTTCTTTATCGCGGTTGACCGCTTTAATGATTACCGATCAGTAATTAAAAGAAGGTCTCAAACGACTAATAAATATTTCCAAGGATCGACGTTGGAGATAAGAAAACAATCCTGGTAATAGGCCCCAGAATGAATTGTACCGAAACGTGAGTATTGTAATAAAAAAAAAGAAGTATTTTTGAGAGAGAATGTATAGGTCAGTTCAAAGGATAAGAGTAAAGGCAGAGGACGATTCTCATGTCCCGAGATTCCTTTTCTGTCCGTTGCCATTGACGCACGAGTCGGAAGAGACTCTATTGGAATTGTCAGACTGTTCGGATAAGCAGCCTGATGTTAGTGCGGCGCACGGAACAAAATCGCAAAAGAGAAAAAAATCGAAAGCAAATGGTCGGCCTAGTTGAAAAGAAGAGAAAGGGATACCGTATTTTTTCCCACAAAATTTATTTTCACCCTCGAGTTACGTTTGATATCGATGTTAACAGCGTCTTGGTAGAAAAATAGACGAACAAGAAGAAAAAAATAATGATTACGAATGACAAGGAACGCCTCAGCAGAGAAAGCAGCGAACGAATGGTGAACGAAGCGGAAAGATATCACTAAAAACGACAAACAAAGAAAAAGAGTCGCTAAGAACAACTTCGAATCATATTGCTTTAACATGAAAAATACGATAGAGAAAGAGAAGATCAAGAGAAGATAAAATAGTATGAAAAGCGTATCATTAAGAAATGTGTAATAAAAAATTATCAAGTAAACATCAAGAGAAATTTAATAATGCAAAGAAATAAAAACATATTTTAATATTTAATATTTTCTGTTCAGTTTCATACTTCTATAGTAACAGTACAAATGACCAAACGAAAAGCAGTTAATTCTCATGTATTCTTTTATAGAGGTTTCTTAGTATTTATTAGAATAAAATCATTTAAATCACGATGAGAGAGAGAGAGAGAGAGAGAGAGAGAGAGAGAGAGAGAGAGAAAGAGAGAGAGAACTCTATTGATACAATTGAAAAATATGTTTAATAAAATTTATAACTAAATCATTCTTGATATCATGATTGATCTTGATATCATGATCTTGATATCATGATATTGTGATCTTACAATACAAATACAAATACGATCTTACAATACAAATACAAAATAATCTTAGAAATATTGGTTTTATTTAATGTTCCAATAAATATTATGCCGTGTTGCTATGATTATCCAGAAAATAAAAAAGGAAAAGAAAAAATGTGAATTATTATTTACATAATAAATTATTAAAAGTGTTTTTATATGTTTTTTGTGACATTATGATTAGAAATTTATGACATTTCTTTTATAAATTTTAAAAATTTATTCGGATATCTTTTTTGAGATCATCACATCATTTTTGTATTTCTTTTTTTAATATTACGATATCTTGTCGGAATAAATCGAAAACGTTAACTATTACATATATTTTAAAATTGCTGATATTTTTCGATGATATATATCTCGTTACCAACTATCATCAGAGAGAGCTACTAGAGTTTCTACATGCGCCACAACAGATAATAAAAAGAAATATTACAATATAAAAATATTTAATGCTTGTGTTACATCGCATTATTTTAAATTTAATGATCTTTTATAAATAAATAAACCTATATATTATTTAAAATGTTACAAAAATATTCGTGTTGCAAAATCTGGAAATCTGAGGTAAGGAAACTGCTGTTGGTAACATTAGTGATAGTCCGACCAAAGAGAACGTGAAGGCTTTTTCCTGTAACCGTAAAATACCCCTGCGCACTACTGCCCTCTGAAGAAATGGTTGTCAACTAAATAACAATATCTATTTTTTGCGGTTTCGTGATGGAAATAAATTACTAATATCATTAAAATCTCTATTAATTTGATAGATTTATTTCAGCGATTTCAGCAATTAAACGGACAATAAATTATAGTGACTCTTTTTTACAATTTGTTTTTCTACATTTATATTTTTATTTCTAATTAATTTACTTTTTATTTACTATTTATTAATCATTTCGCATTAAAATACAAATTTTAATACTAGCTTTGATAGTATTAAAAAGGTTGTTTTGTTTTTTTTATCAAATATATTTTCAATTTGCAAGCCGTTGAATAAAATTGGAATTCTTCTAATTGTAAGCAAACTACAATTAACTACTACTTTAATTTAAAGTTGTAAGAAAATTTAAATGAACAAAAACGATCAATCTGTAGAAGTTCTCCATTACCTTTACCAATTTTTAATTTCAATTCTTTTTCTCAGCAAAACATCAAATTACATGTAACAATTATTGTAACACACGTATTCATATATAGTTATATACATATATTATATACATATATAGTTATATTCTAATATAACAAATTTGAACTAAGAGGCATGTTACATATAATTGAAGTTAGCTGGATTTGTTTTAGGCTGGGTTGTTCCACTTTTCGGTAAATTTCAGCTCACTGTCTTACTCTCTTATTCTGTTATGCTCTTACACTTTTATTCTTTTGTTTATTCAATAGGAAAATTATTACCATTAGTTTATCCGAAGATAAAATAATCAGCTCTTAATGTATTATATATGAATTTAATATTTTCATGCAAGGTATTTATTTGATACCAAAATATAGAACATAAAGAAAGAATTATAATGAATAAAGTAATCAGACACAATATAATATAATAAAATATAATAAAATATAATACAACACAAAAAATACAATTAAATCTTTTTAATATAAAATATAAAATACATAAATTGCTTATACATTTTTACAACATTTTTGTTTACACATTTTGTTTATATGTATAAGATATCTTATATACAAATTGTATGCATACCATAACATAAAATTCCCATATAATTAAAAAAAAATTCGAATTCTGATTCTGCAATAAGAAAATATTTACATTTTTATTTAATAAATCTTTCAATAATACAATGTTTATTAATAGGCCTTTAAATAAAAACACAGATGTGATCTGACCAAAATAGCAATAAAAAAACTAATGAAGATTTGGAAGGATTAATTTTAAAAAAGTTGAAAACAAGA